TGTACATCCCCGACCATTGTCCTCCAGCACCCCCCCGCCCTTCCCCGCCGCGACAATAATGCAGATCACCTCGCCTCCGGCGCACGATGCTGTGTTTCCTGAGAAATTTAGAGGTTGAGGTTCCCGCTCTGTCCCGCCTACGGTCTGGAGTTCAATTGTGCTCATGGCGGGCGAGGATAATAATGTTTACCTTTACTCTAGAACTTCCGACGGCTTACCTCCGTCCGCGCCTCGAGGCAGCACGGACGCGTTTTTTCGCTACGGGGTCTGATGGGCCTCGTGTGCGCTGCTTTTATCTGAACCTTCGTGGCAAGGCAGGGCCTCATATACCCCTCCCTTTTCCCAGCCACTCGGTCATTTCCCCCCTCCCCCCTTTTTTTCAAGCCACATACACACACGCACACACACGTTCTCCCTCCATCCCTCGCCCGCACTCTTCTTTCTACTTTCAGATTATTTCTCGGAGCGCAGGAAGCATATTTCAAGTTGTTGCTTGCATAACCCCTTCTTTTCTTCTCCGCACATTACTCTCGGAACTCACACGCACACACAACGTCAACTGCTTTGCCTTTTCCCTATATCTCCACTCTTCATATTGAATTCTTTGAGACTCTTGTTGCCCCGTTCCCGACCACTTTTCACCAACGCCACACCCACGAGCACACACAATGACGTCTCTCGCCGCAACACTGTCTTCCTCCTCGTATTCTATCCTCCACCGTGACCGGACCCACGTTGAGCGTGCCGCACCTGTATCACTATTGGACGCTGCTCTCAATGCAAACGAACTCGCAGTTGCCCAGGCTCTCAGTGCTGGCGCAGATGTAAACCAATGTGACGCACTCGGCCGGACCGTAGTGGGTTGTGCTATCGGTGGTGAAAGGTAACGTCTTTCCCAAACGCGTTCTAGATAAACGCAGAGAAACTAAAGGGAAATCCGACCTTCTAGATGGGACGAAGTCGACGTGTCCGACGCGTCTTTTATGATTCAAAAACGTTTGCGGATACTGAAGATGATCCTGGACCACGACGAGACCTCTCTGCACGCACTCAATGCCCCACAACGCGCCATTCGTGGTGTAACGCCCCTCGGATTCGCCGCCTGGCTCAATATCCCCAGTGCCGTCCGCCTGATGCTCGAGACCTACCCAGGACTCGTGTCGGTGGACGGAATGGACAGTCTCGGAGCTACCGCGCTCATGTGTACGTCTGTCCCCAATCTCCTTTCGACATTTCTTCCCCTTCCACTCCACTTGCACATGCGCTCATTCGCGCGCGTCTGTGGTAATATTGGACTTTATGTGACGTTTTATTGCCTCTTAGATGGGTTGACTGACGTGGGTTATGTTTACAGACGCGGCACGGGACGGCAATGTTCAAGTCGTCCAGCATTTGGTGAGGGGGCTGTGCAGTGTTTCTCCTCGCGTCGGGTATAAAGTTGCTAAAGTGTTTTTCAACAGCTCATGAACGGTGCAAGAGCGGACTTCAGAGACATTCACCATCGCACTTCCATTCAGCACGCACTTCGGCATCCTCAGGTTCTTTGGTTGTGCGAAAGCGCGCTGAGGCGACAGAGAGCTCAACGGAATCTTGTAAGTGGTATTATTGCCATCAACGAACCATTTGAAATGAACTCAACTTCTGGCGCAGGTTCGTGGAAACGAGAAGAACCTTGTTGACCTTCGGACCCAGCTGGACGAAGAGCTCCTCAGCGTTCCCCAGGCTGTCTGTCATCCCCGTCTCAACCAAAAATCTGCATCTCAAGACATTCACGAGACCACACATGCACTTATATCCGCAACCACTGTCGGAAATGTACAACACCTGTACACTCTTTTGTTTTCTTCGGCCTCACTCGCATCTGTATCACCGTCACTCCCTGCAATTCTTGTCAACCACCCCGACTCACGTGGGTGGAGTCCCATTCATTACTGTGTATCTATTCCCGATCCCTCTAGAGCGGTACTCGACTTGCTCTATCGCGCCGGAGCAGACATGAGTTTATACACGTCCTCTGGTCACGGTACCCCTCTGCATTGTCTAGCCCGGACTGCACGCGCTAACGTGCCTGCGACTATTCGGTCATTCATTCGACACCTCGTGGACGACCTCCGCGCTCCTCTCGCGGCCATCGACCACAACAAGGAAACTTGCATTCATGTTGCCGCTGAACACGGTGAAAGCACAGAGGTGCTTTGCGCTCTACTAGCATGTGATCCTCTCGGCACCGTCCGTGAGATGCGCAATGCGAGAGGGTGAGAACCATTTCATCTCGATATGTTTAGTGCAAATGAGCTTACGGCTATTTGACAGATTGACTGCATTGGAGGTCGCAAAACCTACTTTCAGGGTTGCTTTCGGCCTTGCAGTCGACCCACTGCCTCGATCGTCATCTGCACTGTCCGTGCGCACAATCAAGCCTTCCACCACTTCGATGCGCTCAGACTCGTCCTTGGCGAGCCTTGTCGCTGAGAAGTGCCGCAGACAACGCTCCGCGGCCCATAGCACCGGTTCGTCCGTCGCTTCTTCTGTGGACGCCTCTACTTTGTCTCTCCGGATTCTGGACAACCTCCGTTGTATCTCCTCCCAGTTGGCTGGCGATGCTGACTTCGTGGATCCCACGAGTGTGGTCGGTCTTCTCAGGGACACGTCGATTATGAGCGAGGATCTCTTGGCGCAGATGCATACGAGGGCGAATGACGCTGCTGAGGAGCTCGGGTCCGCACGCGAGAAGTTTAAGCAACTGGATTTGCTCTTGGAGGACGTCACCCGCCTGGTTGAGGTCACTTATGGCGAACGTCTCGAGGAGATAGAGCGGAACTGGGACGCGCCGGATTCTGTGCGAAGGCGGACGACAGACTCTGGCGACTCGGACTCCACAGTGGTGTCTGTCGATTCTCTGTTGGTGGGTCCCCCAACGTCGGAAAACGTCAAGTTTGCTGCAAGTCTCGTCACCCCTACCCCGTCTCACACTCTCACTGCTCGCGGACACCGGTCTGCACCCCAGTCTGGTACTTCCTCGCCTAGGTTCTTGGACGTCTCACACATGGAGTTTGGGTATCGCTCGACGCCGTCTATCACTTTACCTTCGGAAGACCACAAACCTTCCGGTGGAAAGTTTCTATCTCCCTTCTCTCAAGGGGGTTATTCTCAGCATAAGAAAAGCAAGAACACCTCGCTGAGGGCTGCCAAGAGCGTCGAAGATCTGAAAGGACGTCAGGTACACATGGACGGCGAGCTAGAGAAGAAGGATATCTCGATGTCGCGATTGAAAGCGTGGTTCAAGAAGAAACTTGCACCGGAAACCCATGAAGAAGAGTCGCCTTTCACGTCCAATCCTGGTGCGAAGGTCGTCCGACGCGAATCGCGGATATACCAGGTCACTCGTCCCCGTCCCAGCTCGTTCATCTTCACCCCTGTCCCACCCTCGGAACCTATCCCCGCAGTCCCCGAAGACCGCGCCCGCAAGCTCGCACTTTCTGCTGCACGGAGGATTATCTCAACCTCAAGTAAGGATCTCGTTAGAATTGCCGAATGTATGAATTCCGTAAGTCCTCATGTTCCTTATGTATTCGTGGATGTTATCAACGAGGACACTGATTGGATATTCGTATTTCGTACAGGCTGACCACTTCATTTCTCTCGCAAATCGTTCCATCTCTCAGGTCGAGCGGATCATCTCACGATCTCTCGCTGTACGTTCTCTTTCTTACGTTCTGCACTGCCCTTCTAACATCTCATTTCAGCAACGCGAGACATCACTAGACCGCGTCCGCCTGATGCAACAAATGAACGACCTCCAATACTCCCTCCAAGACGTCGTCCTCGCCTCCCCAGAAGACTCCTCCGACCTCTCCTCCTCCCCACCCCACTTCCTCCCCATCACCATCCCCAGTTCCCCGCGCCACTCCCAACTCGTCTTCCCCCGGCCTCCCGGCCCACCCACCCTCTCCACAAAATCTTCAATGTCCTCGCTGTCGTCGACGCTCATCGACGGAGACGACGAGGACACACGTGCGTTGCGAAGACTACTCACGCGCAAAATCGACGAGCGGACGCAGGCGGCGTTGGACGAGATCGAGAAAGTGTCGCACTGGTTGCGGGTGGTCAAGGATGTGTTGTTGGGGTTGAGGAAACGGACTCATCAATTGTGAACACTTTCTTTTTGGGGTTTGGTTCCTTTGTTCATTCCTATATCTTTCTTTCGTTCTGAGCGTGGCTTGGATTGGCCGGACAGAGGGATTTCTTTCCGAACAGTGCTTTTTGTTGCTATAGACCCGTGCTTTTTCCTCAGGAAAAGCGTTGTTGTCTGTACAGTATCTTATCGTGTATGTATCTACTATTTGAGTCGAGTGGTTTGGCCTTAGAAATATCTAGTGTACATATGTAGAGTCGTCGTCGAATATCGATGTCGAATAGTGAATCAAAAGCTGACTTTGCCCGTTGGCATTCCCTCACACAAAGATCGACGAAGCTCTCCCGGTCCGTTCTGGGCGATCAAACCATCATGATCTTGACAGCGTATTTAGCTTCTCGGTCCAAAATCCTATGGTGCGCACCGTGCACACATTGTCTATTCCCTAAGTATGGTTCAGGTCATGCTCATTAGCCCCGATATTCACCTGCAGCTGCTTGATACTTTACTGGTGGAAATGGCCTCTGCTATTTCCCTCTCCCGGCCGATAAGTTAGTAGTAGTTATTGCCACCCCTCCAACGACGCGAACTGCGGCAGTCGACTTATGCAAGTCAAGTGTAAGTTATTGCTGTTCTTGCCGCTTCCTTCTCCTGATCATGTCAATGTTCCTCGTACAGACCAAACCAACGCGGTCAACGTCACCGCGTACGACCGCAACAATGTGTGGTTCCACGATGGGGCTTGCTATCTCAGACGGCGTATGCTCACCTTATTCAATATTGAGCATACATGTCACTATTTGACAAGAATGCATTTGGAAATGAGTCCTTTGGCTGTCAAACGTTGTGGAGAATGCCTTGTCGCGGGCATTTGGCACAGTGGTAGCGCGCACGCTTCGCATTAGCATTTGCGTGAGGACGGGAGTTCAATCCTCCCAATGTCCAACCTTTTTGGATGCCAGGAGTCTAAGACTGTCGAGCCATGGCTAAGGAACCGAGTGAATCGCGTGTAAACCAATGCCCTTGTTACACCGGGTCACAATCTTGTATTCCGTGAACGTGTCAATCAAATCCATTATTCGGAACACAGCATACATCTCGGCACGGTCACCTCCTCTCCTTCAACTTGCGCGAGAACGCTTCTCGACAATGAAAATGTGTGACTTCACCACTGTGAACAATAGACGTGAGGAGCTCGCAGCATGTGTCCGAAATTGATAAGACTTACTGTGGCGCATGCACTGCGATGACACTATAACCCAAACGTTTGTGACATTGAGGGCAGCTGTTCGTAGAATTAGCAACCCGCTCCTCGGATAATGAAAGCAAACAAGGCATACATCCTGCTATCTGTAACCTTCACCCTCCGACTCTGCAATGTCAACAATCTGCGATCCAGTTGTTCGTTCCGCGCCTGAGCTATTCCTCTGATCACCTGTGTGTCAAAGACAGGTGCTCTCAAAGCGTCAACCAAAAACGCGCGGACATCTTGTGCTGTAACGAGAGGTGGCAGCAGTTTCAATGTTTCGACGGAGTCAAGTCGAGGACTGTGTCGGGAGATGAGCTCCAGAGCGGGTTGCAGAAGGTTGATCGTTGGGGAGGCAAGCTGACTCGTCGGGCGGAGGTATATTCGGAGAAGGGTAAGGAAGACGTTGGATGTCGGGCTGTTGGGAACATAAACTTTCTTGCAATACCTGCAGTGAGGGTCAGGGATATTCCAGATATTCCAAAGCGGATATCAGTGAGGAACGTACTCTTCGGCCTTCACAGAGTCTTGCAGTCGGTAAACGTATAACTCCAGTGCATTGTCATGACGGCCAAGCTTCCCCAGAAGAATAGCTTTTGCCTCATACAAGTCTAGAACAACGGACGTTTGTAAGGTCGAATATAAAACCAAGGCAGTGATCTATTCTCACCGTCTGGAGGGAGCAGCCCAAACAACCGATCTGGTCGGTAGTGCTGCGTGGTATCAATGAACTCTAGTAGCTTGGTATATGTCGCTCTTCTCCGGTCTGCGAAACAATATTAACGAGTATGTCAAGAGTGGACGCTACTTGTGCCTACCGCTATCACCTTTCTTCTTCGCTTGCACCGTTGACCTCAGGTACAGTTCCGCCAGACGATCATGATACTCAGGGGTCACCTCCTCACGCTCTGAGATCAAAAACTCGATGTAACGTGCACAGATGTTGATGTCTATCATCTCCAGATAGTCCATCACAGCGTGGCGAGGGAGCTCTGCTTCTTCTGAGGTGAATATCTACATCGCACGGGAGATGATCAGTCGCGACTGGCTGAAAAACCTGGGCGAGTCTCACCTCAAGGCCAATCTCCGGGTTCTCTTCAAATATCCAATGCGCGTGCTCAAATACTTGGTCCATGTAACTCGGCCCCAATCTTTGCAGATAGTTCACGGAAGGCATCAATTTGTCGCGGACATCGCCCTCCTTCTCGCTCAGCCTAACATCAAGTTAGCATACCATGCACGGCGTGGAACGGGTATCGGTTCGTCACTCACTCTTTCAACAAGCCCAAAGCCTTGCCATGCATCTTCCGCCCACTGTACAGGAGGATCAGATCCGTAAACTTCTCCCGAGCACGCAACATCTCTTCAACCTCTGAGATCTCGCACCAATTGCCCGACCGGCATAGTGATGTGAGCAGACCCGGGCGTACTTGCAGATACGATTTGAATAGAGCCGTGTCAACTATTTGAGCGAATCGTACGAGCTGGTCTGGCGACAAGGAGGTAAGGGGAATGTTGGGCAGAGCGTATAAATCTTCCGGTGAAGCAGCAGAGAGGTTGGGCATTTCGTGCGCCTGCAGAGTCGTGATATTCATCGTTTCAAGTGCACCCTTGACCCAAGGCCGACGGTCCGTGCAGTACCTCATCAACTCTTCAACAGATCGTTTGAAATTATCTGCGGAGAATGAGGAGGGCGACGATGCATGAATTGCAAAACACATACCCTGAGCTTTGGTGGGCTTGTCCTTCTCTTTGCGCTTTGTGATGCTACGTATTGACGCAGTATCGTCGTCCTTCCTGGCAGCAGACATCAGAGTGTCAAACCCGGTCTTGAGCATACCCATGCCTCGAATGGAACCGTGTGGTGAAGGCGGCCTCGGTGGGGTGCTGGTGGACGCTGGGGGATCCTCGTTCGTGGTGGCTACGTCTTCTTTACTGCCATGAGAAGAGGATGTCTCCAAGTGCGGCCGTGGGCCACCGAATAGAGGTATCCATTCGTCTTGCGGAACGGAGAGCCTGCCTGCGACAGATTCCGGATACAGAGCAACCACTTTTGCTGGGTTGATGTTGAGCTCAATGAACAAGTTGATGGCGTCCTTAAAGTGCCCGGCCTTGAACTCGGAAACTGCATGTAAGGCTCGCACAAGACGCTGCCGTTGCTCCTATATGCAGGGTGATCAGCATATCTCTCTCCGCTAAGCAGACGATCTGACCTTGTCCGGTAGGATGGCAGTGTCGATTGTCTCCAGGAGTGCCAGTGCATCCTCGTATGCTTCAGCTTCCACCAACTCATCCACTTGTTCACCCCATGGTTTCATAGCAATCTGCCATATCGTACTGCCCTCTGCAGTTGCTGCTGCACGGTCAGTAGGCGTTGTGACAAGGAAAAGTGGTGGTTTCGCGGCAGGTGAGGCTACGAGAAGTCGAACCAGTTGAGTTGCTGTGGTAGATGGCGGATTAGTGAAAGGAACCGGGAGACTCTGAGAGGCTTGTAGGGAGATAGAACTCCTTATTTCAACAACAGGTGTTGTTATGAATGAGAGATTCGCGGACGATTCAGAGCTTGATACCTGGGAAGCGGGGACAGATCCAGGAGGAAGAATGGAGAATATGTAAGGCTTCACAAAGGCTGCGAGGATGGCTGTTGGTTTCGGAAGAAGCATTTATGAGGTGTAATGGACGAACCAGTCTCTTCAGGTGGTGCAGGCCAGTCAATCACCGCAGTTCGAGAAGGCTTGCCATCGGGACCCAAAAGAATTCCATTGTCTATTATATTGTAAAGAGGGAGCATCACCGTCAAACATGAGGCACTCACTATCCTTCGCAATCAGGACTTCGTCGTCTTTGATCCTGAGAGTGCATGGCTTGGGATTCTTCGCCCCAAGGCCCAAAGTCATATAGCCACCCAAGCCGCTAAAAGCTCCCATACCCATTCCACTGATACTTGAAGAAGACGCCACGCTCGCTACCGATGTGGCGACTTCAGTTGCAGTGAGTGTCTTGAGAGAGAATAACGCGTAGTCTGGAGAATAGCCAAAGCAAAGGGTGTCCTGGTTGAGAAAAGCCAAATTTCTCGGGGAATGTGGAAGCACTGCTTCCTAGGGACCCTTCAATGTACGATGCAAGACAGGACAACTGGTGCTCACCTGCACTTCCTGTGGTTCGCCATCCCTCCAGGAATATACGACCACTTTTCTTCGACAACCCACAACCAGATGTGTCACAACAGTAGGGACGCCATGGGTCTGCTCGCCCTTGCCGTCATCGCGTTCGACTGTGGTATTAAGAGCGAAGGAGAGTGCAGGCTTAGCCTTCGGGAGGATAGTCGGCGGGGAGAATGTGGGGAGAGGATAAAGCGTCACAGTCGAGTCTGCGAGATGTAAACATGGTATTACTGCTACTGAAGTAGACATCTACGCACCGGAGAGAACAGCTAAGGAGTTGATATCCTGGACATACCCCAAGTGCTCAATCGCTCTTCGACTGAGTGCTTTCTTCACTTCAACCAATTCCGTCTGCTGGCCCTCCGCGTCTGAGCGAAGTATCAGAGGTCTATTCGCACTCTAGTTAATGGATACACACACTTGAATCATTTCCGAGAGTGTATATGTAAATGCTCCCAGTTGCTGTTCCGACATATAGCTTGTCACCTAGACCGCATCATCTCAGCGAAATACACAAGTGTTGATGTCACCGTTGCCAATGACCTTGAACTAGCAATGACTCTGCCCTTTCCTTGAGACCGCTGAGGACCACACTGGGCGATAGAAAAGGTGCCATGTAAGCGACATGGAGGTTTGTGGTCAATAGCAACCTCGACGCGCATTAGCCGTGTTGCAGAGGAGGCGCCCGATGACCAAAAGGGGATGTGTCATGTCCTGACCGAACCGTGCCAGATCGCGGACCCTTGACGAACCAGCATCGACTCGGACAACATCGCTTTCCGTCTTCTGGCCGATGGAAAATCTCTTCATGGTCACTGTCTAGAGCTTCCGACTTTATTGTCGAGCTGTTTGTCGAAACTTTCGCTGGTGATACGCTTGGAACACAGCGCAAGATTCACAGACGAACCTTGTTTTACTGGACCTGGACCGGCGTTCGCGATGGCGAACCAAACTGCACATGTCCAGGTGAGTTGAACCTCTGTGCCTTTTCCCCCTCATCCACCGGTTCCTCTCTGCACTGTCAGAGACAATCCATTATCGTTTATGTAACCTGGATTTCTTGGAGGAATTGTTCACGAGCAGTAACCGATATTCCCTCACAGAACCAGATAGCACCTTCGGCGTATCCAAGCACCGCGTCGGTTCCCCCGTACACTCTTGGAGGCGATACTGTGATACTTTCGCGGTTTCAAACACCCCTTCAACCTGCTCACTTCAACGCAAACGGCGCGTCTCCACCAGCAGCAGTACAGCCGACTGTCTCACCCCCGGCTTCAGTTGGGGGGACAAAACGCAAAGCGGATGATGCAGACCAGTCATCTGCGCGCAAGCGCAAAGTTAAAACCTTTGATGTTGAAACATCTGAGGTGGTCTCCGGGGAGCCTCGCCAGGTTGGAGCTAGGCACTGGACGGACCGGGAGAAGGGCAGGTTTTTCAATTGGTTACTAGGCAAGGACGAGTGTTGGGATGTGTTTTCTACGCAGATGAACACGGTTTTCCGCGACGTATGTTTTATGTTCTGACGACTCAATATT